GACATGAATTGACTAAAGGAATATGGATTGACTTGTTAGCCGAAAATTAGGGGTTAAAATTAATAATTTGGACTAGTTGTTTAAAATGATGAAATAGTAATTAATAATTGTTAGCCATTTTCATTAATTAAATTCTTGGAAAATTATTTCTAACTTGTCTATGAGATTAGAAAGTAATTTAAGCCAACCATATTCAAGCACGTTAATAAGGCCTAGAAATAATGAAAGGGATTTACATCTTGTCTATGAGAAATAAATTCAATTGCTTAAATAAATTCAAGCATAAGAACACCGAGGCCATTTGGGGACCTTCCCGGTGGATATTTTTGATGAAATTATTTGATTCAAATAAGAACGTGATCTTAGGAGAAAAATGAGGATGAATCTGGACTGTTAGATTTGATTCAAGTGAAATTCAGTGTGCATTAGATGAAACTGTAATGTGGATAAGGTGAAATTGAAATGTGCAACACAAAGGGTACGATACAGTGGCATTATGTGAAGCTGAATTGTGCATTAGGTGAAACTGAAATGTGCACTAGGTGAAATCGAAATGTGCAGAATAAAACGTACAATACAGTGGCATGATGTTATTTTTGTACCTTTTATTCCGCACATTTCAGTTTCACCTAATGCACGCTCTAGTTTAAATTTTTATTCTGCACATTTCAATATCATCTAATGCACATTTCGATTTCATCAAATGCACAATTCAATTCCACATAATACAATTCAACGGTCTAGATTCGTTCTCATTTCTCTCATGGGAATCCTTTCTTACCGGAACTCTCTCTCTCTCTCTCTATGTGTATATATATATATATATATATATATATATATATATATATATAGAGAGAGAGAGAGGGAGGTTCAAATACAAAGTACTACTTATATGAAAAATGAGAAGTAATCTTAGCCGTTAAAATGAGAAAATGAATGAATCAGATCAATTTTAGAGTGGAAAATTCGGTGCCAATAGTGTAATATTAAAAAATTCGGTGCCAATAGTGCAAATGACAAATGTGCATGAGTATGGAGAAAAAGTGCATTGGAGTAACACAAAAGTGCATCACTTTTCGGGGTGGAAAACAACAAGTATAGAAATCGTTTGTGTTATTTTTTTAGGAGGTGAATATGCACTCTTAGATATGGCATATGCACTTTTACTATTATGTATTACACATTTTGGTTTACCGTGAGTTTTGATCCACTCCATTCATTTTGAAGTGATCAAGGGCTTAGATCACTTCTCACTTTTCATGGGAAGACCCCTTTGTATTAGAACTCACCCATATATATATATATAGGGGAAGGTTCCGGTGAGAAAGGCACCTTAGAAGAGAAATGAGAAAGATATTCATCCGTTGATCTTGACAATCGTGTGGCTATGTTAATTTTTGAATTGCATTAAATTAATCAAATTTCCGTACAATTTGGAACGGTTACAAGGAAAGTATAGAGAGTCATTAATACATGATGGCATTTTGGTAAACATTCTCAGAGGCAGTTGGCACGTGTGATTCTATTTAGGGATGAGAGCATCTACCATTTCAAGAGTTTATCTTGACACTTGACACTTGACACGTGTGATTAATGTTGACCATAAGTCAATAGAGCATGCTTGATTCGTATGGCAGCAAAACTCAAGATAGGAAGCACAACAATGAAGAAGCACAATTGAGATGAACGAGCACCGTGTGGTGAGAATTGTGCATCCAAAGTAATAAAAATAAATGGAATTTGAAAATTATAATTTATTATAAAAGTCAGTAAAATAGAAGCGTGGAACATAAAATAATTTTTTAAATTGAAGTGGAATGCACTTTTTTGGAAACTCTATGCACAACTGATTCAATTGAATTTTATTTTGTTTTCAACAATATATATATAATACTCCTTACATCATAATTCTAATTTTTGTTATCGATGCGTCAATCTGCTTGATTGATATTTAAAGTATCCAATTATTTATAAAATGTGCTTAAATTTTATTGTAAAGTGAAATATAAATCAATCAACAATATACATTTCTCATTATGGATCGCAATAATGTGCATTTTAAATGTTTTTGAATTTTAGTATATGGTACACTTTTAATTAAACATACATGCACTTTTCTAAATTGCACTTTTTATCTCCTGAACAATTGTCTATAACATTAGTATATACTTTAATTGAATCATTATGCACTTTTAACATGTATATGTGCAACTTGTGTGGTAATGTCATTATGTATTTTTTATTTCAATATCTTGAGCACTTTTAATAAATTAAGCTGCATTTTTCTAATTATTACTTTTATCTCATTAAGATGCACCTTCTAATACATTAGCTTATTATTGTTTACCAGTGCATTTTTGTATAATTTACCTTGAAATAAAATTGAAATGAAGAGTATACGAGGTTATCAACTACGTAGTAATAACTAATAAGTGCACTTTAAATCTTTAAAAAGGTGCACTATTTCATCTCGGTTTATAAAATTCAGTGAAATTTGTTTACAAAATAAATTGCATGAACCCCGCTTCTAAATGCACCATAGTTGTTCAATGATGATGGTGTAAAAATACATCTAAAAACCATACAAAACAAGCCAAAACCTATCTAGTTAGGAAATAAAACAAAAATAAATAATTAAAACATAACTAAGAGTCAACATCAATAATGGTGGGTGGAAAGTTGTAACTCCCGATGTCCATTAAAAAATTTTAAAAAATGAAATTATTCATGAATATGAATAACCAACGATGTGCATAAGAGGAAAAGTTAATAAAATGAATGGAGTAATGAAAAAAGGTAACAATTGGAGAGAGAATTATGGATGGTCGTTTTGGAAAGAAACGGAGTACATTAAATATTGGTTGAAATCACCCTATTGCCCCCCTACGAAAATAAATTAGAAATTTAAAAGAATGCTTCATCCAAAGGTTGTGATTGGTTCTCATTTCTCTCTTAAGATGATTTTGTCACTTGAACCAAAATCTATATATATATATATGAATGTTCAGGTCCGAACATTCCCCGTCCAAACACCATCCGAACAACGCCGTTCGGGGCGGTTCCCACTAGAATTTTTTGATGAAATTTTGATGGTATGTTTCTAATCAAGTCTAGTTTCTCCATACTAAAGTTCAACTCAAACTTCGATCGGGAAGGTCTTCAAATGATTTTTTGAAGTTGACTGCGTTTTTCTATATATAATTTGGCGCAGTCAACTTCAAAAAATCATTTGAAGGCTTTCCTAATCGAATTTTTATGCATAGCATAAAAATTTCATCAAAAAATTCCACCGGAAACCACCCGAACGGCGTTGTTCGGACGGTGTTCGGACGGGGAATGTTTGGACCTGAACATTCCTCTCTATATATATTTATATATTTATATATGTATATATATAATTGAATGCATCCATCTGAATTGATTATGGTACTCATGATTGTCACACACCACAAAATATACTCGAGAGCGGAAGGGTCTCCTTATATGCCGCAAGTATGAAAAGATGGGAGGAAATATTATTTCTGAGTTATTTTTGTAAAAATAATTCAAAAGAACACATTTGGTAATCATCACGACTCAAGAATAAATCTTAGTGTTTGGATTGTTCCGCATGGTCGTGAATTAGAGAAAATATAAGTAATTATACATTAAAATTGACTTTTCCTACCTTGATTTGTTGAAGTCAAGTGAAACAAAAAACAATGTGCTTGTTGGCCGCCCCTAACGTAGGAAAAGGGGGGACACTATTTCTTAAAAGAAAAAGTTGGCCTTTTTTGGCGCTTTGCCGTTGATCATTAAGGAAAATATTGATGATGCTATGAGCAAAATTGAAAAAGCTGTTTGAGATCAAAAGTTCATTAAGCTTTATATTGAGAAACATTATTCATTAGAAAAATACATGACCAAGTCCAATCATAATTACAAAATTAAGTTGATCAAATTTTTATTGAGAAACAATATTCAATAAGAGAATTAAGAGAATACGTGAGTGAGCCCTCTCATAAATTCATAATTACAAGACTAGATAAATACATTATTACAAAACTAGTAAAAATTAGAAAATATAGTTAATAACAATTGAGTCTGGCTATAATGAGTTTTATATATATATTTATATATATATATATATATATATATATATATATATATATATATATATATAAAGAAACACACACACACACATATATATATATATATATCAGGGCCGGCCCAGGGCAAGTGCAAGCAGTGCAATCGCACAGGGCCCGTAAATTCTAAGGGCCCAAAATTTTAAGTCTTTCTATTATTACTTATGAACTAATAGTGCCCAAAAGGTAAGCCCAATGAATACCTAAACCTTATGTAGCCAAGAGGTTTCGAACCCGGGTGGTTGCTTACACATACGAGTGGTGAACAAGCTCAACCGTTGAGTTGATGTTAAAACACTTTCAATTAACGTTTTTATATCATAGTTTTGAATGATAAAACACTATCTTATTTCTTATACTACGTATTTTGTAATCCTTATATTATTCTTTTTTTTTGGGTTTTAATTCTGAGTTTGAATGATTAAGTGAGTAGATAATTATATTTGGATGGTTTGTAATAATTGAACTCAGCAAATCACCAATTTCGATTATTAGGTTATGAGTCTGTTAGTTTATAATTCCGTTTAACAAATAAATGAAGTGTATTTTGTTGAGGAACACTTTTGTTTCAACTATTTTTTTAGTGAATAACTTGTATTTTGATACAAATTATTGTTGTAGCAAATTATTACAAATATAATCTTCACTTACATTATATGTCTACCTATTTTTAAAAAGACATACTTTTTATTTTTGCACAGGGCCCCCGTGTTTTCTCAGGACCGGCCCTGATATATATGGTAGCATGCCCTTTCCAAGTGTTGGTCCAAAATAGGACGCTCGTAGGCTTTTAGGAAAACTACGTACGACACTCAAGCAGGAATTAGGAAAGTACGAATATGGAAAGTTAGCCAGAAAAAGCATATCTGTATTTGAAATTCGAATTGCCTTTTATAGGCGATTACAAATGGTAACTGCCGAACATAATAATGACTAAATTAATTACAACATTAATACAGAATTAAACACATAATTAAGTCGCACATTAATTGTTGGCCGTTACTCTTCTTGGCTGGCAGGTCAGCCTGGCTGGCAGGCTGGACGCTTGAGCTCCCTCCTGCTGGACTGGATGGTGGGCTTCCCGCTAGGCTGGAGGAAGGCTTCTGACCGGGCTGGAGGTAGGCTCCCGGGTAGGCTGGAAGGCAGGCTCCCGGGTAGGCTGGGCCGCAGGCTTCCAGTTGGGCTGGACCGCAGGCTCCCAGCTGGGCTGGTGGTCGGCAGGCTCCTGGCTAGGCTGGAAGGTAGGCTCCCCACTGGGCTGGAAGGCAGGCTCCCGGGTAGGCTGGACCGCAGGCTCCCAGTTGGGCTGGACCGCAGGCTCCCAGCTGGGATGGTGGTCGGCAGGCTCCTGGCTAGGCTGGAAGGCGGGCTCCCCACTGGGCTGGAAGGCAGGCTCCCGGGTAGGCTGGACCGCAGGCTCCCAGTTGGGCTGGACCGCAGGCTCCCAGTTGGGCTGGACCGCAGGCTCCCAGCTGGGCTGGTGGTCGGCAGGCTCCTGGCTAGGCTGGAAGGCGGGCTCCCGGGTAGGCTGGACCGCAGGCTCCCAGTTGGGCTGGACTGCAGGCTCCCAGCTGGGCTGGTGGTCGGCAGGCTCCTGGCTAGGCTGGAAGGCGGGCTCCCCACTGGGCTGGAAGGCAGGCTCCCGGGTAGGCTCGACCGCAGGCTCCCAGTTGGGCTTCCGCTCCTTGATTGCCCATGTTGGTTGGGCTGACTCGAGCTCTGGGTTGCTGGGCTTGGGCCCGCTGGTCCAAGTTCGGGGCCTGGGCCGATTAGGCTCTGGGCCTAGTCCCATAACCCCATCACGAGTCCCCCACTCCCTTAGTCGAGTAGTAGACTCGGCTAAGAGGGAGTAGTTTAAGTCAGCTGCCGATTTAAAAATATTCACATATCAGGGAGCCATAATTGTGGATTATGGGAATCCCAGAATTTATGGAAATTCCCAAATTAAATCAGGCTCCCAAAAAAGGCTCCAAATAAATTCCTTCCTTTTCTTTTCTTTCCTTTTCTTTTCTTTCCTTTTTTTTTCTTTTCCTTTCTTTTCTTTTCTTCCTTTCTTTTCTTTTCTTTCCTTTTCTTTTTCTTTCCTTTCTTTTCTTTTTCCTCTCTCTCCTGAACCGCGTGCGTGCGTCTTCCTCGCGTAGCCCAGCGCCGCAGATGGAAATCCAGCAGGCCGTCACCTCTTCTTCCATACCGGCGGACGAATTGAGTAGTTGATACCTCAGGCCCGACATCCACACGCGACCGGCCGGCGAGCTTGGCGAGGGAGGGGTCCGGCGACCAAGGGCCATCGGAATTTCAAGGCCAGGCACGTCCGATGACACCTCTGCTTCTGTCGGCAACCCACCGGGCCATGGCAACATCCCGTCTTCCCAAGTCGGCAGCCCCATCGGTTAGCGGCAGTGCTTCCAGGTTGGGACGGCGTGTGATGATTCTCAGGTGGGCAAATCCTTTGTCCCTAGCGAGCAGCAGGCTGACGTTGGTGGTGGCAGGGCGAACGAGCTATGGTGCGCTGCTGGAGTCAGATCCCTCTCGGACCAGATGGAAGGGTGTTGGTGGCTGGCTGTATCGACCCTAGGCGAGACACCAGAAGGTTGGTGCCATGGGCGGCCAATTGGGATCCGATGGATTCTCGGGCAATAGGGTGTCGCCCGGCATCCCCAGGCGAAGGCAAGCTGGCTGGGCGTCGTTCTCGGGGTCCAGTAAATATGGTCGGCGGGTTTGGGCTCCATGTTGGTCGGCGAATTTTACTGGGGTTTGAGGCTTTGTTACTTCTCTTTTTTTTTGTCTTTGCAGGTTCGCTTCCCGTCCGGCTGAATTGTTTTCAAAATTTGGGGACTCCGTAGCTACCATGGCTCCTAGGCAGTGATGTCCTTGCAGCCAAGGCTCCCGGGCAGTGAGAAATAGGAAGGTGATCCATTCCCCAAGGTGAGCAGACAAGCATTAGTAAAATGTTACACATTGAACCGGCTGAGAGAATACTGATGACGAGAGACCTCCACTGAACTTGGCGACCACCCATCGAGAGGTGAACAACCATGATGAAGACCGCACTGAATTCAGATTCCAGGAGAGTTTCTTGAGATTCCTAGCAATTCCCGTGTCTGGATCATTGTACTTGATGGCCATGGGAACATCCGGCCATGACTGTTGCACCTCTTTTTTTTTGTAGCTTGTAGCCACCATATGTAAAATTCGAATGAATATTACCTCTTAATTCATATGTTTCCTTTTCTATACTTTGCATTACGAATACTTAGCAATTTATTCGGGGATCTGGCTTCTCTAACCTCCCGGGGGGCGGTTAGGCTGGCGTGGCCGAGCCTATCCGTGCCTCTCCTAGTTGGATAGAAGTGATCTGTTCGCTATTGATATGGAATCAACAAGTAAGCGACTTGTTTGGCCAGCAAGGTCGGACATTGAACCGACGAGGAAGACCCTTAGGTCGGTATCCTGAACGTTCATGACCCGGGGGCCAGTCCTACTGTCACTTTAACCCGTCCAGTTTGCTCGGACTTGGGGAATAATCTGGTTACTCCCGCATGGATAGCCAAACAACAGGGGCTGACCCTGCATGATCCACCAGAACGAACCCGCACCGCCAACTCAGGGATGACGAGAGTGCGAGCTGCTTGGCCAGCGATGTTAGGCGGCGAGCACTCGAAAGGACCCGGAGGTCAGCATCCTGAGTACCCTCGACCCGGAGGCCGGCCCTACCGTCGCCTCGACTGTCGCGGCTAGCTCTTTACTTTAGAAAATTGCCCAGATTCTTGAAAATCGCTTGGCTATTTTCGGTTAAAGAGCCTGGCCGAGGTCGGCCAAACACCGAGGGGGGGCATAGTACCTTTTTTTTTTTTGCCGCCGCCCTTTATTGCTAAGTGAGGTCGGACCTCTTTTGATGACAAAATATCGCTAGCAAAGTATATTGAATTCATGATGTGGGCGGACCACATAAAGAATTACAAATTGTAATCCCGTGCTCGGAGCACAGGAGTTTACAAAGAAAAGTGAAACTTCGATTTTCTACTGGTAAAACTTCATCAGGTGCTCGGCATTCCAGACGCGGTCTACCAACCGGCCTGTTGTTGTCTTCAACTTGTATGTCCCAGGGCCGATCACTGCGTCAACCACGTAAGGGCCTTCCCACTTGACGGAGAGCTTACCTCCCTCTGTCGGCCTGCTGGCCTTCCTACGTCTTAGGACATAATCACCGACGTCAAAACTCCGGGGTCGGGCTCGGCTGTCTTGGTACGCCTTGACTTGTCGTCGATAGTTTTCCGCTTTGATGAAGGCACGGTCTCTTCTTTCCTCAATGAGGTGGAGCTCGGCTCGGAGCCTCTCCTCATTGCTGGCTGGTTCAAACTCTTCTACTCGCCGGCTAGGAACTACGGTCTCGAACGCTGCCCTCGCCTCAAAGCCATAACACAAGGCAAAGGGGGTCTCTCCTGTTGCCTTCCTTGGGGTTGTTCTGAAGGTCCAGAGTATATTGTTCAACTCCTCCACCCAGGCAGTCCCGAGGGCCTCCAACTTCTTTTGCAGTCCATCGACGATCGTCCGGTTGGTGTTCTCCACCTGTCCATTTGCCTGGGGGTAGCAGACCGCAACTCGGCTGGATTCTACTCCCCACTCTGCACAGAATTGCCGGAAGGCTTTGCAGTCAAATTGCCTTCCGTTGTCGGAGATTATTTGGAGGGGAACCCCAAACCGGTAGAAAATATTCTTCCATATGAACTTCTTACATTGGAGATGTGTGATGCTGGCAAGCGGCTCGGCCTCAACCCACTTCGTAAAGTAGTCCACCGCGACGATGACAAACTTCCGGTTTCCCGACCCGGTTGGTAAGGGACCGACCAGGTCGACACCCCATCTTGTGAATGGAAGGGCGGTGCTGATCGGTGTGTACATCGTTGCTGGTCGGCCGGGGCTCTTCTGGAATTTCTGGCATGTCTTGCATCTCCTTGCATAGTCAGCGCAATCCTTCATTATTGTTGGCCAAAAGTACCCCTGGAGGACGACCTTCCTAGCTAACGTGCCTGCCCCCTGATGGGCGGAGCATACGCCCCCATGAAGTTCAGAGACGATCATTTCCGCCTCATGTGGGCGTAAACACTTTAGCAAGGTCCCATTGTAGGACCTCTTGTACAACTTCCCATCCAAGACGACGTAGCCCAGAGCTCGTCGCCGAACTAACCTTGCCTCCTCTTCTCTCTCGGGGAGCATCCCATCGGCTATGTAGCGTAGGAGGTCATCCACCCAACACCAGGCGACTGGTTGCAGGGGAAGGACGTCAATGGACGGTGAGGCTGATATGCTTGAGGTCGTCATCTCCTCAATGCGTGCAATTCTCGATATATGTTCAGGTAACCCTTGGGATAGCTTTGAGAGGAGGTCTGCATCGGAGTTTTGATTTCTCGGGATGCAGATCAACTCTGCTTGCTTGAACAACCCGAGCAACTCCCGAACAACATCTCGATACTTCATCATTCTTTCTTCCTTCGCTTCGAACTCATCTTTGACCTGTGAAACCACCAGACGGGAGTCACATTTCACCGTTATCCACTCTGCTCCCATGGCGGCCGCCAATCGTAGCCCAGATAGTAGGGCCTCGTACTCCACCTCATTGTTGGAGACTTTGAAAAGATAGCGGTAGGCATAATAGGCTCGGAATCCCTCGGGTGAGATGAGGACGATTCCGCCCCCGCATCCCTTGGCTCCTGCCGACCCATCAGTCGCTAGAGTCCACCATTGTTCATTGCTCTCCTGTTGCCTATCTGCCACTTCTCGGGCCGTGCATTCCACAATGAAATCAGCCAGAGCCTGGCCTTTGATGGACGTCCGAGGCTGGAAGTCAACCTCGTATTGGTTGAGGAGCATCGACCACTTCACCACCCGGGTTGTGTCGGGCGCCCTCAGAGCGGCACCTAGGGGTTGGTCCGACAGGATTCTGATCGGGTGCGTTTGGAAGTAGTGTGTCAACTTCTTGGCGGTGATGTAGGCAGCATATATTGTCTTCTCGAGCGGGGTGTACCGGAGCTCAGCATTCTGGAGGGTCTTGCTTACATAGTAGACGGGACGCTGAACGCCTTCCTCCTCGCGAACCAGCACGGAACTGATTGCACCTTGGGAAACCCCAAGATAAAGGATTAACGTCTCCCCCCTCTCCGGCTTGCTGAGTAAAGGCTCAGAGAGGAGGTACTTCTTCAAGTCGTCGAAGGCTCGCTGACACTCATCATTCCAGACGAAACCATTTTGTTTCTTTAGGACTTGGAAGAAGGGTAGGGACTTCTCGGCGGACTTGGACATGAAACGTCCAAGGGCTGCTAGCCGGCCGGTGAGAATCTGGACTTCTTTCACCGACCTCGGGGGTTCCATGTCAAGTATTGCCCTTACCTTCTCAGGATTTGGCTCAATCCCCCTCCGTGTGACCATGTACCCCAGGAACTTGCCTCCTTGGACGGCAAAGGTACATTTCTTCGGGTTCAGGCGCAGACGGACTGCCTTCATGATCCCGAAGATCTCTGCCAAATCATCTGCATGATCGGATGCCCGGGTGCTCTTGACGATCATGTCATCAACATACGCCTCCATGTTCCTTCCGAGCACCTTCCGGAATACCTTGGCCACCATCCTCGTGTACGTCGCCCCAGAGTTCTTCAGCCCGAAGGCCATGACAAGATAACAAAAAATCCCCTCTGGGGTGACGAATGAGGTCTTCTCCGCATCTTCTTCATGCATGAAAATCTGATGGTATCCTCGAAAAGCGTCCATGAAGATAAGGAGCTCACATCCGGCCGTCCCATCGACTAGTTGGTCGATGTTAGGCAATGGGAATGGATCCATCGGGCATGCCTTGTTGAGATCGGTGTAATCAACACACATCCTCCAGGTTGGCGACTTCGGGGCCAGGACCACGTTTGCCAGCCAGACCGGGTACAAGACCTCCAGGATATGCTTGATACTCAGGAGCATATTGACCTCCTTCTTCACGAATTCCCTCCTCTCGGTTGAGAGGTGTCTTCTCTTCTGCTGGATGGGCTTCGCCATTGGATTGACCGCCAGCCGATGGACAGCGATGCTTCGGTCAAGGCCAGGCATGTCCTCCGGTCCCCACGCGAAGACAACGCTAAAAAGGACAAGTACCTGGATAATCCTCTCCCTCAAGCCGGCCGGGAGCCCGGTCCCGATCTTGACCTTCCGCTCCGGCCTCTCGGGGTCAATCTGGATCTCCTCCACGTCTGAGGTGGGTTCAGCGCGGAGCTGACCCTCCTCATACTTCATGGCTTTGCTGTTGATAGTGTGGATCCTCAAGTCTTTTTGACCGATTTGTTTGCAAGCTTTCAGATAGCAGCTCCTCGCCATTCGCTGATCTCCCCTGGCGACTCCGACGCCATTCGGAGTGGGAAACTTCATGCATAGGTGCTCTTGGGATATCACACATTTGAGGTCTTCCAGGGCCGGCCTTCCCATGATGATCTTATGCGCACAAGTTAGGCGTACGACGATAAACTCGACGTCTAACTTGGATACACAGGGCTCGGAGCCCACCATCACAGGGAGGACTATGCTGCCCTCCGACTCAATGGAGTCCCCGGTGAAGCCTGAGAGTGGGGTTCTCACCGGGATCAAGTCTTTTCGGTCCAGCCCGAGACCTTGGAAGGTGTCATAGTACATGATGTTAACGGAGCTCCCATTGTCCACCAGGACTCGGTGGACGATCGTGTTGTTGATTTCGACCTTGATGACCAAGGCATCCCTGTGCGGCGGAGGCATCGGTGGCAAATCTGCGTCGGTGAAGAAGATGGGGTCCCTCTTCACCCTCTTGTCGGCGGGAGCCCTGGTTATCTCCCCAACGTATAGGGCTCGGGCCCACTGCTTCCGCTCTCCAGAGGTGTCGCCTCCCTGGGGTCCCCCGAATATGAATGAACATCGATGGTACTTCCGGGGGCCGTTCCCTAGGTCGGCATCGTCTTCCTCAGAGAAGGCGCCGAGCTCTCGCTTCTTGGCAGGCGGTGTCTCCTTTGACGTGGTAGCTTGGTCGGACCGCTGCCACGTCAGGCTCCTCTTCTGCGGGATGCCTCCTTGTTTGCCAACGAATTGGCCCAGGTACCCTTTCTGGATGAGTTCTTCAATTTGCCGCCGGAGAATGACACAATCATCTGTATCATGCCCTGCTCTCCGATGGAATCGACAATATTGGTCGTGGTTGCGCTTGGCAGTCACCACATCACACTCCTCCAGAAAGTCGACTAAACCTTGCTCCTCCGCGTAGTCGAGGATGGCCCCGACCGGCTGAGCAAGTGGGGTCAATTGCTTGACGAGCTGTAGCGGTCCGCTCGGGACGTCCGCCTTGCCCTTGCCTCTACTTTTGTTACCTCTGAACTTGTTGTTTTTGTTGCTAGCTTTGCCGTCAGCTTTCTCAGCACCCGAACCGGCTTCCTTCTTCTTTTCTTCTTTTGCACCTTCTTCCTCATCTCTTTTCCTCTGCAAGGCGTCCTCCGCCTCGGCTTGCCGGTCGGCACGGCCGAGCGCCTCCTCGTACGAGGTAGGGGGACTTCTGACGAAATCTTTGTAAAGCTCGCCCGATCGGATAGAGTTTGTGAGCATGGCCACCCCGGTCCTGTCATCAAGGCCCTGAACCTTGACTGACTCGGCCCTCCACCTCGCTAGAAAGGTCGACAATGATTCCTTCTTCCCCTGTTTTAGACCGAACAGGTGGCTGAAGTTTTTCTTGACGTCTCGGGAGCTCGCGAACCTCAAGAGAAAGCGCTGAGCCAACTCACGGAAATTCGTGATACTCCCGTCGGGTAGAGAATCATACCATTCACGAGCCGGGCCATCCAAAGTGGCAGAGAAACCGCGGCATCGGATTGCGTCCTCGTACCCCATCATGACCATGTAGGAAAGGTACCGAGATACATGATGCTGGGGGTCCGAAGCGCCCTTGTATGCTTCAATGGCGCAAGGCTTGTAGCCCCTCGGCAACGGCGCATCCATGACCGCCCGGGTAAAGGGTTCGGGTATCCGGAGGTCGGCCGTGTAAGGCTCCCCCCCGACAACCCTCCTTCTCAACTCGTCAAGGCGTTGTCGTAGATCTTCCACCTCGGTCGGCGGTGGGTTCCCCCGGACAGCTTCAGCGCGGGGCTGGGCATGTCCGGCGGCACCTCCAAGTCGTCCGTGCACGTGAGGTCGGGGCCCCACGTTTTACCTCTCCGTGGAGCCAGTCCGACTGCTCGCCCGGTGAGAGTGGCGAGAGGGCTCGCCTCCTTCCATCTGCGTTGGGCGCCCCTGCTGGGTGCCCCTCCCCGTCTGCCGATGGGGTCGGCTACGCTGCTGAGAGACTTCTTCCCCCCGCCGATGGGAGACTTCTTCCCCCCTGTTTTGGTTGGATCCAGAGCGTCGCTCATCACGCCGCCTGGAGGACACCTCCACATCCGCTGGCGTCTGTTGACGGGCAGGCTCATCCACATTTCCGCCAGACACCATCTGTTGGAAATTTTGAGCCAAGGTCCCCAGAACCCGAGTTGCCTCCTGCAGGGCTTCCACCCCGGCATTGAGTCGAGCCAGGTCCATGCGCGGAGCATGACGTCGGCCTCCCCCCCGCCGGCTGCGGACCGAGCGCTCACCTTGAGTGTGGTTGAGCGTCGCCCTTAGGTCGCCGTGGCCTGATAATTGGTTCCGAAGGTCGCCTTGGCGCGCCGCCCTCCTGCCCTGTGCATGGTTGTCGAGGGAACGCTAGCGGCCAGACCGGGCGGACTCCTCGGTGTGGACTGAGACATGGTCACGTCGAGACGAGATTCCAGCCATCTTCCTGTGTGATTCCTACTCAAGTTATGTGAGAGACAATAGAGGCTCTCAATGAAAGCACCAATGTTGGTCCAAAATATGACGCTCGTAGGCTTTTAGGAAAGCTATGTACGACACTCAAGCAGGAATTAGGAAAGTACGAATATGGAAAGTTAGCCAGAAAAAGCATATCTGTATTTGAAATTCGAACATAATAATGACTAAATTAATTACAATATTAATACAGAATTAAACACATAATTAAGTCGCGCATTAATTGTTGGTCGTTACTCTTCTTGGCTGGCAGGTCAGCCTGGCTGGCAGGCTGGACGCTTGAGCTCCCTCCTGCTGGACTGGATGGTGGGCTTCCCGCTAGGCTGGAGGAAGGCTTCTGACCGGGCTGGAGGCAGGCTCCCGGGTAGGCTGGAAGGCAGGCTCCCGGGTAGGCTGGACCGCAGGCTTCCAGTTGGGCTGGACCGCAGGCTCCCAGCTGGGCTGGTGGTCGGCAGGCTCCTGGCTAGGCTGGAAGGTAGGCTCCCCACTGGGCTGGAAGGCAGGCTCCCGGGTAGGCTGGACCGCAGGCTCCCAGTTGGGCTGGACCGCAGGCTCCCAGCTGGGCTGGTGGTCGGCAGGCTCCTGGCTAGGCTGGAAGGCGGGCTCTCCACTGGGCTGGAAGGCAGGCTCCCGGGTAGGCTGGACCGCAAGCTCCCAGTTGGGCTGGACCGCAGGCTCCCAGCTGGGCTGGTGGTCGGCAGGCTCCTGGCTAGGCTGGAAGGCGGGCTCCCGGGTAGGCTGGACCGCAGGCTCCCAGTTGGGCTGGACCGCAGGCTCCCAGCTGGGCTGGTGGTCGGCAGGCTCCTGGCTAGGCTGGAAGGCGGGCTCCCCACTGGGCTGGAAGGCAGGCTCCCGGGTAGGCTCGACCGCAGGCTCCTAGTTGGGCTTCCGCTCCTTGATTGCCCTGGTTGGTTGGGCTGACTCGAGCTCTGGGTTGCTGGGCTTGGGCCCGCTGGTCCAAGTTCGGGGCCTGGACCGATTAGGCTCTGGGCCTAGTCCCATAACCCCATCACCAAGCTAGTTAGAGTGTGCCTGAAACCAAAAGAGAAGCAATTCAAGAACTTGTTGTTGGCAATGAATTGGTGATTCAGATTAAATTTCACCAACACCTCAATTTGAATCCTCTCACATCAGTAATGAGGAGGGAATTTCAGATGCATTTTTTATGTTGATAATTACTGTTGATAGTGGAGCTCATGTTTGTGAGAAAAGTGGATGTGGTGCTTTAATAAGTGAATTTCTTATCAGTGATTTCAAAGGCCATCAACATTTGGTGCTAATCTTGAATTCCAAAAGAAGGGTAATGATGAAGAAGAGTGGGAGTCTCAATTCTCTAGTGATACTTGAGAATGAGAACAAGAAGCATACTTTAAATCTTGAGACTTTTTTCACTTGATGGTAGGAAGGGTGCCCATTACTGCCTTTTTCAAAGGGAAAAATAATGAAGATTGTGAAGAGTTGATAACTGAGGGCTATATTTTTAATGTAGATATATGCTAATAGAGACCATAGAGATGGGTTTCTACTTTTCTTGTCACTTGAAGAGTTCAATATAAACGTCGAGTGTTTGGTTCAAATTATCTGAGTTTCTCGTGGGTTTGTTAGAGATAGTTGATCGTTTATAGAACCGGGGTAGTAATTAAGTATCTAGAAAGACGTTAGAGCAAATATAGAATGACAAAATTGTGTGATAAATTTGGTAGAATCACGGTACAAAAATCTCAACCCCTTTCCCCAAGTGACTAGTTATAGTTAAGTACAAGGCTTGAGCTTATGTTCCAAAATGCTAGCTAATGAGAGGATCACATGTGTCCCTAAAATACTTGAAAAATGTGTCCGCTGATGTCATGTTGATGTGGGATGATGACAACCGTGGAAAACAATCTAGTGATGTCACTGATGACATCAATCGTTCAGAATATGTGCATGTTTGCAATGCCCGAGAAATGACTAAGTACGAAATCGTAATCTAGTCGAGGCAAATCAGATATGTTCAGCCTCATCCGGTAGCATCATTGCAAGATCCATAGTGGCAATCATGAGGTAGATGACTTGAGCTGCTATCTTGGACCGTCTTGTGAAGGCTCTTGGGGTATGACAATACAGTCCATGAATAGTGTTAAAATGTCTCACTTGGTTGGAGTTATAACATTACAAGATTAGTAATATAAGGTTCCTGAAAGTAATGAATTACCTAAAGTAGTATTACATTTATGGAACTAGCTAGACGTCCTCAAAGACATCATTGAAAACTTTACACATGGAGTTCTACCCCATTGTTTGGAGTACAAAAAAATCTACTTTTAGTTTCATGATGACTTAGTAATTCCCATTTTTATCCATAACATTTTTTTACTTTTGGTGTTTAATAATGATTTTTATCATTTTTGACCTTTTCGACCACTTATGTGATGAAAAACAACAAAAAACTAGAGAAATTAAATAGAATAAATGGTAAGATCAATAGACCAGAAGTAATCCAAATATATAGGCATTGGAACAAGGAGGTGGAGTTAGGGATTAACTATAACACTCTGACTGTGCATGGTTCAAGGTCTTTACTTCTGAATATATACCTTAAAAGAATATGTATCTTATTGGTATGAGTAGCATTTTAAATCCTTTTGAGATATTCTTGATATTATGTTGACAAAAGGAATGATTTGATACACATGATATCAAAAGTGAAATTGTCATGAAAACAATGCTTCTTTGAAGGTAACCAACAATGCTTCTTTGAAGGCAACTATTGCATTGAATTTTTTTTCTTTTCCCTCTCCCCCTTTCTTGCATTTAAATGTTTAGTTTCTTTATCTTTTACTTGTTTCCATAGGGCATCTTAGAGCCCGTTTGGTAACAATAAAATTGGCTGAATTGACTGATTCTGCTGAAATTTTTTATGTTCTGGCTGAAGTGGCTTTATTCTGCTGATTCATGAAAAAATTATATTTAAAATATTTATTATTAATAAATTAAATAAAAAATTATATGAAAAATAGCTAAAATGATCTTCTACGGTAACTTCAGCCAATACAGCCAGAAAAGTAACTCCGGCCTTACTTTTTTTGCTTATTACAAAATTCAGTGCGTGAAATCAAAGGTACGTATTTGGTGAAAAATGTGGCTGATAAGTCTGGAGAGTTGCACACACACCAAACTATGTACTCATCTACGTTACAACACCCTCATCTGGAAGATGATTGTTCAACACCTTAGACATCTCTATAGGTTATAGGTACACCAACAAAAGATTAGGAGCATGAAGATAGATGAACAATGAATTCAATTGGCATTAATGAGTTGCAATTCCTTTTAAAACTGGCATTTTTCATGCTCACTTCATATTTGGAATATTATGGGATTTAACATCGCTATTTTTCCTCTATCGTCTTTTTCATTATGCTTTTCACTTATTAGAGTATTGTGCTTATTTCACGCTTTAAATCTTATTGCCTATTGATTTCCAACCCACATATTCCCAGCAAGTTGTATGTATTCTTCTCTAGAGAGTAGAGAGTGAATGAATTCATCATGTTCATGGTTAAGGATATGGGGTAGGGCCTGGACCGGTTCTAACTGGCCGGTTCGAGTAAGAGATTGGGGAACTGAAAATCAGTTCTGGTTCCGGTTTCGCGTCAGCTTTGGTTGGGTTCAAAATCAGAAAAAACAGAACGCATGTCCAATTTTGATCAGCTAGTTGTAATCGGTCTAGTTGAGGATCACCAAGGTCGACATTGGCCGGTCTCATAATTGGGTGTCCCATTTGGACTGTAATTTGCTGGTCTGACTGGTCTGATCTGGTCTGGTCTGATCTGATCTGATCTGGTTTCTTTGTATTTTTATAACTATCCAAATCTGATCTGGTCTGGTCTGGTCTGAATTGGTCTGATCTGGTCTGGGAGGAATTACCGTCCAAGTAAAAACATCCTTCGTGAACAAGCTGGGGCTAGTTCCTGATAGAATTTACCATCCTTTGGATACAAGTCCATGAATTATTGAAAATACATACTCGCAATCTCGCATTGTTGCCTCACAAACTATGAAATTTGGATTTAGGAATAAAAATGATATTCTCCCCTTCAAGAACTTTATGCAATTATATGTCGCAATCAAGAAGCTCAGAGGAAGGGGTAAATTATAGCGTGCAACCGGCACACCACGAGGATGGTGCGCCCGGTTGCAAAACGACGCAGCATGGTGCTTTTTTTTTCTTTTGTTGTTAAATAATGATAATAATTTTTTTATTTTTGATCCGATTTTTATAAAATTTATATCAACATTTTTTATTTTTCATGATCTTTCAAATGAGACCAATATTGCTTATGTAATTTTAAGAAATTATCGAACTATTATATTAATGAGTATTGGATTATAAGGAAAATCGAATCTGTTTGGGAGATATAGGGAGTGGATCAGTGGACTCAGTTACATTTGATAATACATTGAGTTACATCTTTTTATGAGCGAGTTACATCTTTTTATAAGCAAGTTACATCTTTTTATAAGTGAGTTACATCTTTTTATAAGCAAGTTACATCTTTTTATAAGCGAGTTACATATATATACACACGAGTTGCATTTGACATGTCAGAACGCGACTTACATATATTTACACGTAAAGTTACATATTTATACACGCGAATTACATATTTATACACACGAGTTGCATTTGACCTGTCTGAACGCGAGTTACATGTTTTTTACGTAAAGTTACATATTGTTACACGTAGAGATACATATTTATACACACGAGTTGCATTTGACCTGACTGAACGTGAGTTACATATTTTAACACGTAAAGTTACATATTTTACACGCAAATGTTAATATGTTAAAATTACATAAGCAATATTGGTCTCATTTGAAAGATCATGAAAAATAAAAATGTTGATATAAATTTTATAAAAATCAGATCAAAAATAAAAAAGGTATCACCATTTTTAAAAAAAAAAGAAAATAATATCCAATGGGTGCATGGTGCTCACCATGCACTCGTTGCACGGTATACGCACTCAGAGGAGGGAGTTATCCTAGGCAAGGTAAGGTGCCTAAGGCCGCCCACCTTGTAAAAATAGTAATTAAATAAATAAATAAATAAATACTATCTCCGTCCCAAATTATTTTGTAAAGTCAATATTTTTTGGTTAATCAACATTAAAATCTGAAACTACATTAAAATCTCTATAAAGTTGGAAAATTCAAAATATATTTTAATTCATAATTGATATCCTGATTAAGTGAATAAAATGATACTATTTGACCTAAAAAGATCAATTTTGCAACTCGGTTTGAGACAGAGGGATTAGAAATGATAAAAATAATGAATATTACCATTACCCTTTGAATCACTCGAGTTTGTTAACTTTTTTACTTGGCTGTTAAAAAAAATGAATATTCTATTTAAAGTGAGTGATTTATAATGCTAGATTTTTTGTAGACACCTGAAAAAATTCTAGTGATTAATTTATGTTTTTATATTATTAAAGTTATCCTAAGTTACGCTACATTTTTTAGAGAATTTGATTTTATGTTTTTCTTAAATAATAACTGATTATATATTTACACACGGCAGTATCGATAATATCAGAATAATATGAACATGTTCTTTATTAAAAATACTATCATAAAAGTATAAATTTATTAAATTATGTGAAATTTATATATTATACGGAGTATAGTAGTATACTTTATGAAAGTTATTTTCATATTGAAACATTTGATTTAAAATTAAATTTTGTTTAAATTGTAGCACTCTTTAGCCTGGCCTCGAATTCTTTGAGGTCGCCAAGGAGCTGATAAGAAACGTAGAGTTCTCAAAAGAAAGCACATGCCTGAACGATTCATAGCGCTCTACTCTAACTGGTAAACTGCAAAGCCGGACATTAAAACACTCCCCATCCACAGTTTTCCTTCCCTCTCCTCCACCTCACTTATAGCCTTCACAACTTTCCCTTGCCTGTCTTCAAGGATTTGCAAAATCTTACCTTCTGGGCTATACTTCACAGCAAC